GGAGCAGATCCCTGGCTCCACAAAGGCCCGTAAGGAGCAGGTGAGCCTGCGTTCGCCCAGCAGCCGTCAGCCTCAGCTCCCAAAGCACTTGCTGGGGAGGGCATCACCCTCTTCTTCATTTGTGGGGCTGTGACTCATGGAGCTGGACGAACGCAGCGCGTTGTGTCCTGCGAGAGGGCAATGCAGCATCCCMCACAAGATGCTCTTGCTTTTGCTGCAGGGCCTATTCCAATTCCTCCATCGTCGTTTAGTTCCCCCCCAAACAATGTGGGTCCACAGGCCTTTCCCAGCCCTCCTGTCCACTTCCTTGCAGCGCCAGGGCTGGCGCCCTGGGGGAAGCAGGGGCAGCGTGGAGGCACAGCAGGGACACTCGCATGCAGCACCGTGGGTTGCTCATCCAACCTGCGGAGAGGCCAGAGCTGCAAACTCCATGCAGCAAATGCAGCAGGAAACGGAGGCCGGAGCAGAGCAACGGAGACTCGTTTGGGGAGGGGGCAAGGGGAGATCAGAGAGATGCAAAACGCAGCACACTTAAACACCCCATTTTCCTCCGCCAAGCGGCCTCCTGTCTGCTCTTCAAAAGAGCCCAGCCTGGTCCCCTTCAGAAGCTCCCCCCTCATCTGGACACAGCCCCTTTGTTTTGCTACTCCCCCCAAGATCAGGCTCACACTGGAGCCAACTGGCAAAGCCAACGGTAAYGCAGCCGAAAGCCACTTCCTCGCATGCAGCGAAAGCCCGAGGCCAAGGGGGACAAYAAGAGACCCGAGGCCTCGTCCTGCGAGCCCTTGTGTTCCTGTTTACTTGCAGCCTTGGGACTTGATCAGAGAGATTTCTTCGGACATTTCTAAGATAATTTCTACGGAAGTTGGCAGCGGCCATGCCCACACGCGGCAGGAATCCTGCCCATTCCTCGCCTGCGGGGCGGCAGCGGCCGCCTTCCCGGCGCCAGGGAGGCACCACTTCCCCCGTGCAGCGTCCTGGGTGTCCTGCATCCTGTGTGTGCTGCATCCTGCATGTGCTGCATCCTGCGCGTGCTGCATCCGTGCTGCATCCGTGCTGCTCCGCCAAGGAGCATCCATGCTGCCCCACCAAGGAGCATTGCCCCTTCACTCACCGGGAACAACCATGCCACAACGAGGGACCTTCCCGAGCCCCGACAGGTCACGCGGGCGCCACTCAGAAGAGCCGCCGGGGCACCCGAGCCGGGTCCCTCCTGCRCGAACCTCAGCGGCTGCCATCGCACCAACCACCTTGCCCTCGCACCGCCTCTCTCCCGGCCTCGCAAGCGCAGGAGTCGAGTCTGGTCGCTAGCCCTGGCCGAGGGGCAAATGCAGCCCCCTGCGAGTTGCCCCTTGGCTGTTTCCATGGGAAAGTCAGCATCACCACCCCAATAATAATAATAATAACAACAACAAAGAGGGAGTTGCCTCTTCTTGCGCCCAAGAGGCGCCCGCAGTCCCGGGGGGCTGCCAGGCCTCAGCTCGGCCCGCAGGGGCCCTGCCGCCTTCCCCGCTGGAAGCAGGGCGGTCTCGGAGGGGAACGGGCCCCTCGCCGCCCTCCTCTGCTCCGCAGCGAGGGGAAAGGCAGCGGTGGAACCAGAGCCGCGACGGGCCGGGCCGGGGGGCAGCACTTGGTGAAGAAGGGGCAGCAATGGCCGGCCCGAGCCATGGCAGAGGCCGTGTGAGCCCACACAGCGCCGCCGTGGCCGGGCCATGGCCGTGGCGGTGGCAGTTTGAGCGGGCTGGGCTGTGGCGGTGGTGGTTGGGCTGGGCCATGGCCGTGGCGGTTCGAGCGGGTTGGGCCATGGTGGTGGCGGTTGGGCTGGACTGGGCTGGGCCATGGCAGCGGCGGTGGCCGTTCGGCCGGGCCGGGCCATGGCGGTTCGGGCAGGC